GTTACATTCAGCTTAGAAGGGCTGACGTACGTAAAATAAATTATGTATGTGATTAATAAATAATTCTTGGCTGTGATGGTGAATTAGGTGTTAAATTTTGCTCTTTGTGATGTTAAATGATCTAAATTGAATCTGAGCTGCAACAACAAGCAGATCGACACAAATCATCAGCAGCTGCTTTGATTATCGATTATTTGTTACTTTTCTCATCATTTTTATCTCATAATGTTTCCTTTTTCATAGTTTTTATCTCATACTTTTTCCCCTTTAATTTACTAATTTTTATATCAGATTTTTTCATTTTTGTATCGTAATTTTCAACCATTAACTTTGATTTTTTTTTCATAATTTTGTCTTTATTTAACTTAACTTAATTTTTCCTTCAGGTCTCAGTTTTATCTTTTATTTTTATCAAATATTTTTTCCCTTTAATTTCATAATTTTTATCAAATAATTTTCCTATGATTTTATCTCATATTTTTTCTTGGCTGTACAAGATAGTTAGTTTTGGTTTTTTTTGCTTAATGAATGACTTTTTACTAAACTTTTTACACAACATTCTCGGTGCTCATGCAGGAGTTTGAAGTGATTCTTGATGCTAATTGTTACGTATTTAACATGGTAAGGAGTTAAATACTTAAAATAATTAGAATTATGAATGGATGTGAGCAGTTTGGATGTTTTCTCGTGTTTATTTACATCTTTTGCTGCTTCCTGGTGTTTCATAAAACAAACGATCAGTTGATGAACTCAGAGAATAATCAACAAATTAACTGTAATGATCAGATCTGTTAAACTACAGTCAGATTAAGTTGAGTTCAATTAAACTTAAACTGAATTGTTCCTCTGAAACTTTTCAACAAACAGCAGCAGCGACTCAGAAACAGGAAACTTTAACAGAAACTATTCTTTTTGTCGGCCTCCGTTCTGGCGGTGACGTTGAACCTGAATCGTTTCTCGTCTCGGGACTTACAGCATCTTGATCTGCGACTGACATCGCCATGGCAACGTCCTAAATGATCAATAGCCGTGGTCGTGTAGGAAAACAGCAGGACGTCCAGGAGTTCAGCTGTTCATGAAGGCTGGACGTCGGACCTGAACCACGCAGCAGCTTCACTCCGTGTGACACTGATTACTATTGATTATCGATTAGTGCGTCACCGATTCAGTAAATCTGCTGCTTTACTGACTCTCAAACATGTTTAACGGTACATCTAGTGTTGCAGCAGCAGTTTAAATTTAAACAAAACACACATAAAACACCCTTCCAATAATATATAGTAGAATAAATCAAATAAAATAGGACAGACTGAGAGCTGAAACTGCTTTTATCCAGTAATTATTCAGTGTAACTCGTGTTATTTTACACAAAAACAGAAGAAAAACGGCACATGAGCGTGTAAAATTGTACAAATCTTTAGTTATAATCAGTCAAAATGTTTCTGAAAAAAAATGTCACTACTTAATACATAATAAAGCTGTAATACAGGCTGCTTACGTGTAAATGTACTGTATTTAAATTCTGTTGTGTGCATGAAAATCACTACATAAACATGTGTTATTGTGGAAAAAACATTCTCTGTGTTTTTAGCAGTAAATAGATAGAGGATTAAAGGGTCAGTTCACCCAAATTAAAGGTTCGATCATTGAGTTATAAGCGTCTGAAGCAGAGAACATGTTGACGTGGGGCGTTGACGTACAGATTTAACAACACAGAGTTAGAAAATGAACAATAAGCGTAAAGTCATCAGAGTTTGTTTATTTAAACCCAAAGTTTCAAGTCATTTTATCTAAATGCCAACAGACTACACTGATTCTGTGCAGGATTTTACAGATCTGAGCTTCTGCTTGCACAAAAACAGAACACAAATTGTCCTTTTCAGAAACCACAGAGGCAGAAAACCAAACCAAAGTTGTGTCAATACCAGCAGAGAAAGACGGGAAACATTATTCCAGTAATCGGAGGTGAACCGACCCTTTGACTTTAAGCTCTCGGTGGAACATCTGGGCTTCGACCCACGACTGAAAACACAAACACGTTCTCAGGATGAAGTAGGTTTATCTTGGACGATGACTTGGGCTTTAAGACGAGTTGACGTGGGAAATCATTGTTCCGAAGAAACTGTAGAGAAAAATAACTGCAGCTGTGTTTCTACTGAACAAAGAGGTAAACATCTGTATTCAGACAGATGTTCAGTGAGTCATGAGGGCAGCTTCAATCATCCTTTTGAATCAATGACATTAAACTTGTATCTCATCTGTTATATATCAGCCTTGTTCTAATTTTATCTTGTATTTTACGTGTTTTTTGTTGTTATATTACCGCATGTTTCTGTTCTTAATGTCCTTTATGCTGCAGTAGATGATGTATTCAGGTTCTTTTGCTTACTTTAACTACTTAGTAAAAGTAGAGCAACACTTTATTTTGATCAGCTTGTATTTTCCAATTAATTTCCCCAAAAGTTTTCTAACAAAGTCCTGTATAGTTTGGTGAAAATTACAAAGGAAATTTGGGAAGTGTTAGCCCAATTATTAATTTTAAGTTAAAAAAAAAAGAAACGTGTGTCAACACTTAAGGAATTAAGGATTTAAGATTTTTCAGAATTGTGTAAAAACAAAAGAAAATACTGATAAATGATTCGTATAACCTACCTCCTTCATGGAACAGTGTTGTTAGATAGTTGGCGACTTTGGAGGGAAGTTTAATTACCATAATTCTTCAAATCTTCAAATGAATACATGACAAATTTGAGAAAAAGATGTTTTTTTTAAGAATAAACGTTCTCATCTAAAAAGAATCATTTTAGGTTGATTAAGCACTAAAGATATAAGTTAAAACATATTTGTACCTTTCCTCCGGAATCAGTGCTCTACTTTTATTTACTGTTGGCTAGGTAAGTGTGAAGTGTCGTATTTATAATCTCCGTGTGTTTAGGATGCAAAAATATTAACTGTAAAGTCAAATAAGTTTAGTGGAGTAAGAAGAAATGAAAAGTAAAAGTATAAAGTGGCATGAAAATAACAATGCAAGTACTTTGAGTTGTTTTTATGTTCTATGTAAAGCTCTTTGGATTGCCTTGTTGCTGAAAGGTGATATATAGATAAACTCCTTAAAAGATTTTAACATACGTTTTGTTGTAATTTCAGCAGGAAACTATAAAAATCCAGGAAGTAATCTCTTCAAACGGCTTTTACAAAAACATCAAACTGAACATCATCAGTATAGAAATGATAAAAGACGAACTGACTGAAACTGTATAATATATGAATAAACCAGGGCCCAGGATGGATCTCTGAGGAACTCCAAAACAAACATTGTTGTTTGCCAGGTAAAAGAAAAAATGTTCCCAGCAGTACTTCTGATGTTTAATCTCCTCCAGCTGCAGCAGCAGAGCCTCATCATGAGTCTGGACGAGGACGCCCGATGGCTGGAGTGGGTCACCAAACAGTTCGAGACCATCGCCGGAGACGACAAAGAGATCGACATCGACGAGTTTAAGAAGGCTCTCAAGGTCAAAGAGGTGAGAAGATTTTTAAACACAAAGTCAAGACATGCTTTGATCTTCAGATAAAAATGAACAACTAATAGCCTCAGTAATCAAAACCTCATCCAAAAATGTACTCAAAGAATAAATAGATAAGTTCTCAATTCAAAATACAAAATATACCATCAAATCGACGGTGATAGAATTTATTCCTTCCGTTAAGTAGGGCTGACAGATATAGTATATGAGCTACATGGTGTCAGACTTTTACCACAAAAGTCTTATTTCAGTAGCAGTCTAAAAATTAGCAACAGCTTCTCATTCAAGGTTTTTTTTGTTTTTTTTGTTTTGTTTTTTTATGTTTTACTGTTTCTACAGTGTAAAAATACGTCAGAACTGACTGAAATAACACATATGTATTTACTGTATGTAGTAAACAAAAAGAATAAACAAACCAAAATTTGTTCTGATTTTGATAAATACTTTAGATTCCGAAAAGTAGCCTTTGTTTTCTTTAACAATAGCTTAGCTTAGCATAGTTCTCCTCACAAGAAAATAGTTAAAACATTTCTGAAGAAATTTTGAGTGTTTCAGTGCTTCTTCTGCCATTATACTGTTAGTGCCTGTTGGTTCTGGTAGGTCCAGTTTGCTGCTGTTAGCTCCTAATTACTTATGTTAACACCTGTTAGCTACAGAAAGCTCCAGATATCGCCTGTTAGCGTTTAATTGCTCCTCTTAGCTAATATTAGCTACAGAAAGCTCCAGTGAGCTTTTGTTAGCTTCAGATATCTCCTGTTAGCTCATAATTACTTGTGTTTGCATCTGTTAGCTACAGAAAGCTTCGGTTAGCTTTGGTTAGCTTCCAATATTTCCTGTTAGCTCCTTATTGCTGCTGTTAGCTCATGTTAGTTACAACTAAGTTAGTTACAGCTTCTTGGAGCTGTTAGCTCCAAGAAGCTCCTGTGTGCTTCTAATGGCTCCTGTTAGTACCTAAGAGTGTCTGTTAGCTTCATTTAGCTGCAGCCTGCTCTGGTTAGCTCCTGTTTGTATCATTTAGTTCCACGTAGCTGTTAGCTCTCATTAGCTTCTTTTAACTCCAGCTAGCATTTGTTAGCGTGCTTGTTGCACCTGATGCATACATGTACAAAACGTCTCCGTAATCCAATAAAAAGTTCCTTCATTACGTTTCAGGCTGCTGTGTTTCTGTCTGGTTTCTCTGTGGATGCTTTAAGCTTTTACAAAAACATAAAACTGAACATCATCAGTATAGAAGCGATAAAAGACCAACTGACTGATACTGTATAATATATGAATAAACCAGGACTGAGGATGGATCCCTGAGGAACTCCGAAACAAACATTGTTTTTTTGTTTTAACTTGTGCTGCTGATGAGGCCTGACATAAATTAGTTAATTTAACACATGTTCTGCTCAGTCTTTCTTCGCCGAGCGTTTCTTCGCTCTGTTCGACTCGGACGGCAGCAGCTCCATCAGTCTGGACGAGCTGCTGGAGGCTCTGGAGCTCCTGATCCACGGCAGCGAAACCGACAAGCTGCGGTTCCTGTTCCAGGTCTACGATGTGGACGGTCGGTACCACAGAATCACAACATCTTTGACCTGCACTGAACTCGTTACACAACTGAACTGTACAGACAATATGTTCCTGTTTTATCAAACTAAACATTGTGTTATCAAACTAAATGTCCTCAACATAAATACAATATTTCCTTCTAAAATGAAATAACTCGTTAAAAGGGAAAGAGACTTCACTTCTTTGAATCTCCTCCTAAGATTTGTACCCCGACACCATGAAGTCATCGTGTTCTTTATCAGACTTCCTGTTATGTTTGGGTTCCTCCTTCACTTTAATCTCGGTTGCTTGTCTTTGCAGGCAGCGGCTCCATCGATCCAGACGAGCTGAGGACGGTCCTGAAGTCCTGCCTGAGAGAGAGCGCCATCTCCCTGCCGGAGGAGAAGCTGGACGACCTGACGCTGGCGCTGTTCGAGTCAGCCGACAAAGACAACAGCGGCTCCATCACCTTCGAGGAGCTCAAGGCCGAGCTGGAGAACTTCCCAGAGGTGATGGAGAACCTCACCATCAGGTAGATCCACCCGCCTCTCCTCTGTCACCGTCTGCATGTTTTATTCTGAAAAAACTTGAGGGTCATTCTGCCTCAGTTCACCAAAACGCCTCACCATTTTTTTTATAGTGGTGAATACTGATTGAGTTGACCATGTGTGCAATCTGGGCTCAGAGCTAACATTAGTTTTTGAGTTAAAAAGTCTTTATAAAGTGGGGTCATGTTGAATTTGCATACGAATGCACAGAAAAAATCTGACGATGAGATGGTGACGGGTGAGATGGTCAGGTGTGAACTTTGTGAATATTTGGTGACTTGAGGTGGATTGACCCAGGAGGCAGGTGATCATAAAGGAAACCTGACTGAATCCAGAAGGTTGGTTCCAGCACAGACACCCTGTTTAAAGCGTCTCCTCCTCAGCGCTGCCAACTGGCTGAAGCCTCCCGAAGTGGACCCGAAGAAGCGCCAGACCCCTCGGTACCTGACCCGGGTCTACTGGCAGAACAACAGCCGGAAGCTGCTGTTCCTGTGCGTCTACGCCCTCCTCAATCTGCTGCTGTTCGTCGGCGCCATGCTGCAGAACAGCCACGGCGGCGCCTGGTTCATGGTGGCCAAAGGCTGCGGACAGTGTCTCAACTTCAACTGCACCTTCGTCATGGTACGACTGCAGCCGCACACCAAATACTCTGACTGATTACTGCAGTACTTCTACATTAAAAAGCTGTAGTTACTTTACAGATCAAAATTTTACAAGAAAAACGTCTAAGTAGATTATAAAATCTAGCACTGTGTTGTGGATGAAACTTTCCAGCAGGATTTAAAATTGTTAAAATAAAATGCAGCTAAGCTAAGCTAAGCTAAGCTAAGCTAACCCCTTTTATAGATCAAATTATCCAACAGTGTATAAAATAGTGTAAATAATTAGTAGAGCTGCAATAATTCATCAATTCAGAGCAGTTGATGATAAAAAAAAGAAAAAAAATCTGCAACTGTTTTATCAACATATTATTTCTAGTAAGATAATCGGGATATAGCACTACAGCTAATTATTTTTCATTCTCAGCTATTCTGATGATTAAAAAAAAAAAAATAGTTATTAGTTGTTTTGTATAAAAAAAAATGGCCGAAAATGTTGATTGGTGTTTCCCAAAGCCCAAGACGACAAATGTCTTGTTTTGTCAAGAACAAGTGCATTTGGGAACCTTTAATTTTATTATTTTAGGTAAATTTTTCCAATAATCCTTTCACGTAGCTGATATTTTTTATGCGTGGACTACTACATGTCTCTGTATTTCTATAATCATAGTGCTTCCTGATAAAAACAAACCAAACTAAGAAATAAAGGTAAATACGCTTACTTATGTACATTATATATGGATTTACTGTGCACAGTAAAACATTATACAAAAGGACATTTGTTTTTGCCTTTTAATAAGTGAGTAAATAGTTTTCATTGTGAATTAAACTTAGCACTATAAGGACTGTAATGTGTTCCAGTGTCCAGCAGGGGGCAGCACCAACCTGCTGCTCCTGAGCCTAAAGCTGCTCAGGTGGAGGTGAAGCTCCTCTGAGGTGTTTGGATCAAGGCTCTTGGGTCGTGTTTTGTTCAGACTGAGGTGATTTTGTGACGTCGCACTGTTTGGTTGTGTTTCTTTGTGTGTTCAGGTGCTGATGCTGCGACGCTGTTTAACCTGGCTGAGGGCCACATGGGTGGTGAGAGTCTTGCCTCTGGACCAGAACATCCTGCTGCATCAGATCGTTGGCTACGCCATCCTCGGCTTTACTCTGGTGCACACCACCGCCCACGTCTTCAACTTTGGTACAAACACAAACACAAGTGTAAGGTAGACCCGACAATCGGACCTGAATCTGACTCAGAAATATTAAAGTGTGAGAGACCACAGAGGTCAAATGAAGAGTCTGCTGGGGACTGATTCATATCAGACCAGGAGGATTTTTTCCTCACCAGCTGTTAAGTCACAAAGCACCACTTCTGTCGCCTACCGACCTGAACAGCAGCAGGGACACATTTACAATAAACGAATGTATCATCATCTGCTCATCATGAGTTAAAAACCAGGACTTATGTTTAATAATGTGCTCCTCAGACTTCATTTAAGGAGTTTGACATGTTTTGTAAAAAAAAAAAAAAAAAAACATCACTGGAGCATAAAGAATTTTAGGATAGTTTTGACCCAGGAAATGATGACTGTATGTGAAGCATTCAACATGATGCAGCCTGTTTGAGCCACTGAGACGTATTCAGGCTGTGAAAGTGGCCTTCGAAGGAATTTAGACTCACTTATGTTCAGAAAGAAACTTGTCGTGGTTTCCTTTGATCGGATATGAATGTTCTTGTTGAACTGTTTTACATGTAAAGATGCTCTAAACTCAGTCGTCTAAAGACCCGAGACCTGACTTGGACTAGACCTCGGAAGACCTGAGACTTGACTTGGACCAATCCTATTAAGAACTGAAGCTTCACTTGGCTAGACTTCCAAAGACCTAAGCTGGACTTGAACTCTAAACACTTGATACTCAGTTAGCCTTGAGCTAACCCTTTAAGACTTGAGACCTGACTTGGACTAGTCCTTCAAAGACTTGACACTGGATTTGGACTAGTGCTCTGAAGTCTTGAGGTCTAACCTTGACCAGTCTCGTAAAGACTTTTAACTTGACTTGGACTAGCCTTCAAAATACCTGACCTGGACTACTACTCTACAGACTTGACATATGACTTGGACAAGCTCTCCAAAGACCCAAGATCTGACTCAGATAAACCTTTTAAAAATTCAACTTGGATTGACCCTCTAAACACCTCCCAGCTGACCTGGACTCGGTATACAGATGTACTGACTCGTGTCCTGTCTCAGTGTATAGACTTGTGTCCTGTATATCTCAGCCCTGACCTGGACTCGGTGAACTGATTCGTGTCCTGTCTCGTGTCTCAGTGCGCCTTACAGAGACCAGTACGTTCAGCCTGTGGGAGTACCTGCTGACCACCCGTCCAGGGATCGGCTGGGTCAAGGGGACGGCCTCTCTGACCGGAGTCGTGCTGCAGGTGGTGATCTGCCTCATGGTGCTCTGCTCCAGCACCTTCGTACGGCGCAGCGGACATTTTGAGGTGGGAGTCGGAGAAGGTGGCAGCATCTTCATCATCATCATTAATACTATTAGGATCATCATCATTTACAATTTCATTTTGCATCATCATCATCATCATCATCATCATCATCAGCAATATTTTCATCAATATCTTCATCATCATCATCATCATCATCATCATCATCATCATCATAAATATCTTCAATATCATTATTATCATCATCTTCATCATCATCTTCCTCATCAGTCATAATTTTATCTATATCTTCATCAATATCTTCATCTTTATCATTATCATCATTGGTAAAATCATCATCTTCAATATCATCATTATTAATATCATCGTCTTCATCATCATCATCTTCATTATTATATTTATCATCATCATCATTATTATCACTATCATCATGTTTATCATCCTTATCATCAATATTTTCATCCTTATCGTCATCATCACTAAAATCATCAGCATCAATATCTTCAATATCTCATCAATGTCATCATCTTCCTCATCATCATCATCATCATCAGCATCCTCATCAATATCTTCGTTGTCATCATTTTCATCATCGTCGTCTTTATCATCATCTTCTTCATCATTAATATCATCAGCATCCTCGGCAATATCTTCATCGTCACCGTGATCTTCATCATCATCATCATCATCATCATCATCATCATCATCATCATCATCATCATCATCATCATCATCATCATCATCCTCATCCTCATCATCATCATCACCACAACTGAACCACATAGAGCTGCACACGTTTGGTTTCTCTTTATTTAAAAACAAGTTAATTTAACTTAAAATTCCTTCATCTAAACGGTGCTTCAGGTCTCAGACCCCCAGGTCGACCTGCTGATCCTGAATGAAGCTGAGGACAGTTTGTGTGTTTCCTGCTGACGGCTGCTTTTCTCCTGCAGGTGTTTTACTGGTCTCACCTGTCCTTCATCTGGGTCTGGTCCCTGCTCCTGGTCCACTGTGCCAACTTCTGGAAGTGGTTCCTGGTTCCCGGCCTGGTCTTCATCCTGGAGAAGATCGTGGGCATCGCCGTGTCTCGTATGGGAGGTCTGTACATCGTGGAGGTCAACCTGCTGCCGTCCAAGGTGCCGACTCCCACAGATCTAGTTGTTGTTACACTGATTTTAATGTGATTAATTGATGCTGTATTTACAGGTTTGATCATCGTTTAGGTGTTTGGTCACTAAAGGTGATCAGGACGAAACATTTAACAGAAACATCTCACCACCAGTTGATTACACACATGAACAACTTTCTGAAATTGTATTTTTAAATATGCAAATGAGCTATTATCTTATTACAAATGTGGAAATTTGCATAAAAATCCAAAACACTGGATGTCTGACGGTGTTTCATCGGTTTCTTTGTCTGTTTTTCAGGTGACTCATCTGGTCATCAAGCGTCCGCAGTTCTTCCACTTCAAACCGGGCGACTACGTCTACATCAACATCCCGGTGATCGCCAAGTACGAGTGGCATCCGTTCACCATCAGCAGTGCTCCGGAGCAGTCAGGTACCTCACCGTGAGGCTGGAAGCCGCAAAACCACCTAAACCGAAGCACCAGAGCCGGGTTTAGTCAAAAGCTGGAGGCTGCAGGGAGTCAGTTCTGATGTGATGGGAGAGTTTTGGTGCTTCTTGTGAACTTTATTTGGTGTCCTGGTGAGATATCTTGACAGACAGACTGTGGCTTTCATGGTTTTCAAGCAGGAATACTCTGTTTTAGTTTACGGTGATTTGTCTTTATCTGTGGATTATTTTCGGGGTTAAGTGATTAGTTGTTTGGTCAGTAAATGGAAAAAAAAAATGTCCGTCAGTGTTTTCTGAAATTCAGCGTGACAAATATTTTGTTTTGTTCACAACCCAAAGATCCTCAATTTACTGTCGTAGAAGAGGAAAGAAACCAGAAAATGTCCACATTCACACAAACACAGAAACTAGGCTTTATCTGAATATTTATTATACAAAAAAAAAATTATTCAAGTGCAAACTGGTGTTAACGATACTGGAAAAATGGTGAGTCTAGATGCTACAGATGTTCAATTATTTACATCCTCTACTCTGCTCATCAGTTGTAGAAAGATGCTTCACCATGCTGGATGTATCTCTGCATTTATTTTATTGATCCGGTTGGTTTGATTTTCCTCTCAGTCTCTCTGTGGAAACACTGGCTGCTGCTCAACCTGAAAACTCTTTGAATTTTGGTCACATTACTGTTTTACACATCTGAGTCAGTCACAAAGAATCAGTTGTATCGAGGAACTCAGAATTTCTTGTTTTTTGCAGAATCTGGTTCCTGCATGTGGTTTATTATTGGTGATTTTTTTTTTTTAATGAGACGTGAAGTTATTTTGATGAAATATAATTTTGAGCTCAGATTTGGTTCATTTTCTTTATGGATCTGCACATCTCAGATGATACATTCAAGGTTTGAAAGTTAGAAATGTGTCTTTCTTTTCTACTTCTCTAGTTTCTGGCTGATAAATGTTGTCATTTTGGAGTTGTTGAGAAACCTGTCGTACTGTTTTAGGGTTTCAATGGTTAAAACCAGGTCTGATTGTGACCTCTGACCTGCAGATGCTCTCTGGCTTCACATCCGTTCGATGGGTCAGTGGACCAACCGGCTGTACGAGTACTTCAGGCAGCCGGAGACTGAGGCGATGAATCCGAAGCGACTGGCGACGAGCCTGAGGAACCGCCGGCAGCTGCTGAAGGCTCAGGTAGGATCAGACGTCTGTAAATCATGAATCATCTCTGGATGTTGGCTCGCCTTCATGTCTCTGTGTGTTTCCCGGCAGGAGGGCCTGTTCAGCTCCGCAGACTGCAACGCCGACGTGGCGTCTAACGAGGACGACGCCATCGAGCTGACGATGTACCGACAGAACGGTTCCAGCGTGGCTCCGACCTCCGAGTCCAAACCTCCGGCGGCTGCAGAGCCTCTTCCAGATGAACCAGGACCAGCAGAGAGAGGAGAAGCTCCTCCACTCAAAGAGGTCGGCACCAGATACTTCATATATCAACTGTATATAAATAAAAAGTACATAAAACACCAGCGGATAGCACTATGATGAATCCTTCTAAAACCCGTCTCTGGAGGGTTTTTCCATTCTGCTTTTTCTTAACGTCGTTAAATCTCATCTTCAAACTAACAATGTGGTCGTTCATCTTTCTGCATTTTCTCTCAGTGGCTCTCAGCTCTAAGCTCTTTAACCATTTAAAAACACTGTAATGACTTAGTGCTGACACTTAAACGCTCTGAACTTTAAAACCTGCTGCTGTTTTTAAAGCTGTTTTTCCTTAAAAAACTACCAGAGTGACACCATTTATCCATTTATCAGCCAGGAACTGTCACAACAGAAAGATGTATCAGATTCTCGGCTGTCAGACAGTTCTTGATTGTGTCTTGTGTAAATTGCAGTTCCATCAGAAATAAATTAGGATGTTTTATCAAATCACGATATTCAACTTGTTTCATTTAGAAGTTCTCTAAAAAAATAAACCATTTGTTGAACCCTCTGACCCCAAAACCCATCATCAGGTTTTTCTTTTTCCAAAAGGAAGGGCAAAATGAAACGATTCATCAACCAGAAACTGTAAAAACAGGAAGAATCGTCACCTTTCAGATGGTCCATGAACGCATCATCAGGGACGTGTGGTTACATCACAAGAATGAACCAAATAAGCTTGAAACTGTATGATCGTGTGTTATTAGCTGGTTCTTCTTGTACCTGCAGATGTCGGCCAAGCTGGGTGAGAACCACAGATTCTGCAACATCAAGGTGAGGAATTTATAAATT